GCTTTTAGATGTATCAAAAAAGTGTCACAGGGCTACTTTTACTTAAGGGGGGAGCTTGAGTACACCAGTCATTTCAATGCACTCAGTGTTTCATATGGCCATTGCATTTGGCCACTTCAGTAATGTCTTTGGGGACCCCTTTCATGCCTACCTTGCCCACACTGTCATGGCGGCTCTGGGTAGTGCAGTGCTAAGTTGCTAATGCTATGTCTATGGTGTGCTGGTTCTAAATCAACAACACTTAGCTTGGCAGTGGAGCAATTAATGACTGGCAGGCTGGTGGGCCTATAATACTCTGGGGGAAACCCTGATGTTGGTTATACAAAAAAAAGGCTAAAACATTTCAGGAACAAGATCCACCTAAAGTGAGATTTTCTTCCTCAATTGGCACACGGATAAGCAATATTGTAGCATACTTTGACTGACTTGTTTTCCATTGATTTAATTATTTTGAATTTCGGTTTTGTTTTTTATTTGTTTGAGGGATGTTGGTGTGATCAAAGCACACTGTTAAATCTAACAATCCATGGTTGTTTATTTTAAGAATGCAAACCTAAATAAAAATACTGTAGATTCAAAAAGTCAACTTTATGTTGTAATTTAGGCTTTGCATGTACCTAACTGTATTATATCGTTATGCATACCTGCTCATAAAGCTATCACTTCAGAGCAGTTTACAAAAATACCTCTCTGAACGAAATGAAAGTGCACTGTGGCATTTTAGGTTGTGTTTTAAAGTTTCAGAAGATGTTCTCAGAGGTTTTAGGTTGTTGTAGAGTCTCCGCCTCAACCACAGCTGCATTGACATCCCTCTTTCCTCTGGCTGCCTAAAGTGGTTATAAAAGTGAAGAGCAGAGGTGACTCAAAGCCAGCTGAGCCCTGTTCACAGTGCTGACTGACAGCCAGACACACACTCAGTCTAATGGTGCATATCTGTATGCTGTCACTCTGTTGCATCTTGTCTTTTGTCCCTTCAGTCAGAAACCCTGAAAAAACCGTATCTCTTAGATCTGTGGTTATGGTGTTGATACTGTATGAGTGGTTGGTGTTTAATAATTGCTTGCACAACCTACTGTATATGTGCTAACATGCATTTGGGATCAAACACAGACATTTTGTGTCTCTTGTGAGCCTTGACATGCTTTCAAAATAATTTAAAATGATTAAAGTGTCTCAATCAAATGGGTTTTATAAAGAAAGTTGATTGGGTTTATTTTTTCTGTAATACAGTATATATATTTAATAAAACAACCTTACAAAATTTCACTCAGGTGTAGTGACACTTTAGAGTTACCAGTTAATCTAACATGCATGTTTTTGTTCTGTGGGAGAAAACTGGATTGCCCAGAGAAAATACACACACAAGTGCGGGAAGCATGAGAGTAATTTTTGAGAGGTGACAGATTTAACCACTGTTCCGCTGTGCTGCTCCATTACACATTTGTACATTTAAAAAATATACTCTATGTATATACTCTAAATTTATCACCTTTTAGCTGTTARAAACATTTTCTTAATTTTCTAGGAGTGCATATAAGTTGAACATATTCTCTCCCAGTGCTGCATTGATACCTTTATATTCTTTTTGAGTCATATTTTTCAACCCATTCAGTTTTCTCTATTTTATATTACGTTTTCTGAACTTTTACATCAAAGTTTTTGAGAAGGAACATCTTAATAAGGTCCGAACTTACCAGTTTCGACAACGTTCATTTTAATTTCATTTCCACCAATCTATCTGGGGTAATTAACCTTTTTGTTAGTGTATTTGAGCGCTAATCTAAAATAGAGAGAAAATGGCTACGAGGAGTTTCATTTTGAAGGACAATAACGTTAAATTTATAAACACCTTGTAGGGGTTTTGGGTATATTCTAAAATGGATAATTTGTGAATTATTTAAATACGCAAATTATCTTACCTCGAGGCACCACRCTCTTAATTTGATCAAAAACTAACCCAGGAAAGAGACGAAAACCTATAACTTTATTGTAATCAGTCTCACAATAAATGTACCCAAAATCGTTTGATGAGTTCTTGTCCTTATCAGAAYCAATAATACTTTATCAAGACACAAAAGTGAGATTAGATTGTGTTGGCACGTTCTCCGCCATTTATTTACAGATTAAATGTATTTACAGCTATGGTGAGGATGAAGTGATGACATGTTGAACCAGGTAAAACTGACAGAGTTTGCAATCACAAGTGAATAAACAAACAGACAAACAAATAAAATAAATACTGAGAGGTGAGTTTGAGGTTTGGAGTGAGGTGACGTGAGTTTTGCTTTTAGCTGAGAATTTAACTAAGGGGGTCCTAGTTAAATTTGGGAGAAAAATCGTTTAGTTTACCAAATCTCATGCAAAGATAAGAATCAAATTACGTCTGAGCACCTGTTTGTCACCAGTTCAAATGTTCACTTTTACCCTTTTGTTCTGCCGTGTGGGTACCAGGAGGGGAAGTCAGCGATTGAAGGTCATCTCTGGGGGTCGTCTCCCAGGTAGACTCTTCATGCAAGCTGGATGTCAGGCAGTCTGCCTGCAAAACTCGACTGGTCCCGTGGTCAGAGAAGGGGGTCACTCCATGGTGACAACGTGGTCCGGTCCTCCCCAGGCGGCTGCAAGACTTCTTAATTTGATTTCAACTTTGTAGAGAAAACAAACTAAAAACGACGCAGGAATTACAATTAGCTTATTTAACTTCTATAAAATCAAACTCAGATGTTGAGTCGATATTAAACGGTGGCTGTTCGTTCAACCCAGCGGGAGATGCAGAAGGGCCACCATCCTGCCCAGCCCATGGGGAGGGGCTGGCAGGCAGGGCCTCTGCTGAGCTTCTGGAAAACTGTTTCTGGCTTCTGATGTTGAAAAACTCTTTTTTTCTGTCTTCTTCCTTCTTTGTCCTCTGCTAAGAGATTGGGATTGCGCTAAGCTTTTTAAAAGCTCTGTTATGGGCRGAGTCAAGGTTGTAGTTGGCCAATATAAATGTTACACCTTATACATGAAAAGTTTTTTTAACAAATCAAATCTGTTTTGGAGGGAAAACTTTACTTCAGGACAAAGAAAAAGGGAGTGTTTTAGTTTAATTATCTTGCATCTAATTAAA